CAAAACATTATAGCCAACACTTGTGCAAGCGAGTATATTTTTGTGAAAATTAAAAGCGAATCTGCCAAATAAAACTGTTCGAAATGGATCTTTGCAAAGTTTTTAAACGGAGCTTGAACGTGTTCAAAATACCATGTGGATCCGACCAAGATTCAGACGAGTTACGGGAGAGGCACCGACCAAGGGGCATGCTCCCCATTCCGGAATTGTTCATTTTTCATTTTTAATTTAAATAAATGCGGCCGGCTACTATTGCTGGTGTTGGTTCTACTGTGGGTGCCTTTATTAAGGCTCCACGTTCATTTGTCAGCGGTTTGTCTGAGCATTTTTGCGGGTAGTCGGTTGTCGGTGTCGGGTTTTATGTTTAATTGCGAAAGAAATGTGCCATTTGCCCGTCGTTTTAGGCATTCCGTTTTAGTTTATGTTTATGTTTATGGTTTGCCCATTTTGTAATTTAGTAATTTTCACCGAGGGCCAGCCAGGGCCAGCCAGGGCCGAACTAGCAAAATGGGGAATGTTTTCAAGGGCCAAAGTAGAGTGATGAGGATTGTCTGGTAGATTACGAGTAAGTCTCTTATTTTTTTCGCAATTAAGTTTTAAAAGTCTTTTCTACCAAAAAGCTACCAATCCCCCTCTGTCACCCATGCCGCTTATTGTGCTCCAGACTCGAATCAATTTTCCGCTTTTATTGTTAATGATTAATTTCGATTGGGGGAAAAGTGCAATCATGGTGGCGATAACTGCCCGTCATCCATCATTCTTAAATAGTCCAGCCATGACAATCGAGTATTCTGGCCGGGTGTCGGGCCGTGCAGTGACTATGCAGATTGCACCTCCCCTCCCTGTAACGGGTACGTGTACCACTCCAGAGCCACCCAACAACCACCTCTGTTGCCAAGTGGCAAATTATGAACTTGGGGCTTGAGGTTGGGGCTTGGGGTTTGGGCTTGGGGTTTGGGGTTTCATTTGTTCATAAATTAAGGACTCCATTCGCATGCATGGAGCTCGCGAGGGTGCGGACACCACCACCCCACCCAACCGCAGGGTTCCGACGCGGCGGCCATTAGCCTTAGCCTGGCCTGCCCCTTAACTGTAGCTGTAGCTGTAGCTGTAGCTGTCCCTATATGGCATACCGCACGCAACTCAGGAATGTCCAGCTGTCGAAATGGACACTCACGGACGGACACTCACACTGCCGGACATCTGTCACGAGCCCACAATCAAAGGTGTTCCTAATTTATGAATCAACGCAATTAGCTTTAATAACGTGCTGCTGCCGCTGCTGCTGTGCCTCGCCGCAGTCCAAAATTAGCTAAACATATGCGAATAGGGGCGTGGGAGTGGGAGTGGGAGGGGACGGTTGACTCAACATTTTGCCTTTATTCGCATTCATTAAGTTGGACCGAAATGACAAACGGTTTCGGGCAAGTGTCCAACAGTTGGAGATGATTGCCATACATTTGGAACCGCACGAAATCAAATCGAAGTGGTATCGGAATTGGGTTGCACTGAACCCCCCATACAAAAATGGTGGAGCGATGGGGAAGGGCACGGAAAATAAAGAAGAAAACAAAGGAGGAAAAAAAACATACATACATACATACATATGTACATAAATTAACAAACAAATCGGAACATACACATTTCTATGTAGAAACTAGGGATATTCCGGATCCTAATCTTATTCTCAGTGTATTCTGAGCTGCCCACTACGAGATTGTTCGCAGTGTTGGCTTCCGTTGCATTCCTTACGATTTACCGTTCGTTATTGTCCACTGCCCGTCCTATTGCTGTGCAGGTGTGAGGGAGGCAGACTACCCGTTCAGAGAGAATCAAAAGAGAGAAGAAGAAGAGAGCGCGCGCTGAGAGTGTTCCTCTGCGGCAATGTGTGTGTGCTAGAAAGAGAAGGATGAGGGATGGCTTGACAACGCTAGCTAGCTGATAGTAGTTCAGTGATTCGAGTTGTCGTACAGTTGCCTTGCGGAGTAACTCGCTGTTTGACGTGCTGCAATGGAAAAAGATCGGAATTCTAATAAAAACCAAACCAACCAAAGTGGTAGGAGTTAGACAACAATTAACAGCAATAAATCAATGGGAAACATAACCCACCTTCATACGTATGTGTGCAAAAGTGGAAGACATCTTGCGGTGAGACGACTACATAATTTGATGAGAACCCAGAAATAGCTTGGATACCCCTAACCACTTTCATACATTTCTTTGGCCCTGAAGACGCACCCCACACCGGAATGCCACTAGGGCGCTAGGGAGGAGCTACCGCCTGAGCACTTGGGTGTGAAGCTACCTTTAGCTGGCAAGTAATTGCAGTGTCTCGACCACAACCGGATTTGTTTGATTCGTATTTGGTTTGATTAAGAGGCCGGAGCGTTTTAATTAACGCAGCCATGGCAATGGCAAGTACAACAGAAACAAGAAGTTTCAGCATTTTCCGGCGACTTGTACAAGTTGCCAGGAAAGTTATTTGAGCCCGACCCCCTGCCACAGCCATGGCCACAGCTCCTCGCGACAAGTTCGTGCTGATGATGATTGTTGTTTCCAGTGTTCCAAAGATGTTGCAAGTAATTTGCAAAACTTTTGCCTGTTGCCCGGACACCGTGGCGTATGTGTAATGTGTTTAATTCAATAACTTTCTGCTCGAAATGAAAACCAAAACACAATGCCTCGAGGCTCGAGTGCTGTCTTAGGAGCAAACAATAAACATATACAAATACATTTTGCCCAGCGACTTGAATATGCAATTTCAGTCAATTTGCCCTGCCATCTATCAATTAGATTAGTGCTTCATGAAAAGTTAGGTCCGCTTTCCACGATTCAAGCATCTTGGCCAAATAGAAACGAACTCCCATCGACTGCGAGCTCCCACACAATTGTAATTTGAGTTGTTTTTACTTTCTGGGGCTCCATCTCCTACCACAGCCCCACAGTTCCACCCGTTGTCTGGGGCGATGCAAAGACCGGTGCAAACAAAAAAGCAACGGCGGTCATTAGTGGGGATTTCCATGGGGGCTCTCCGCATCTTGTCAGTCGGGACGGCGGGGACATTGTACAGTTAATGATACCTGGAACTCGACAGAAATAGAAACAGGGAATCGAGACAAATGTCCCACAGCCCCACAGTATCTATCGCCTGAAGAACATGAAGGAGAGCTTTAGACTCCCACCAGGTTCGTCGAACCGAGCAGCACTGAGTACCCACAAACGGCACTTGTGGCACACGGAGATGTGTAAACACAGAGATTGTTGTATTCAACAGTAGCACTCGAATAAGATCCGCAAGCCGGGACCTTTCAATCGAGGCTATTAGCGTTCGATTCGAGCAAGCTCTGAAGCTATTAACTAAGGGTATCGATCTAGTACGAGTATCGACTAGGGAACGAGACACTTGGAGACGTTTTTGTACAATTTGTCTTTCGGTTCAAGTTTGAAATGATTTCAGTTTATTACTCAAATTAAGGATATACCAAAAGATGTTTGGTGGTATGGATACACAAGGATATATATTGTCTGCATGGACCAGAGCTTATCAGGACCTGCGTGCGCGCCCTTAGGCGGCCAAGGTGGGGGGGCGGGGGCGAGGAGTGGTTATTCTGGGGCGTCTGGTGGTGGTCGGCAGGTTAATGCAGGGCCGCTGCTTGTCGCCCACCTGCATGTCTCCGCAGCGACGCTTCGCCGTGCGCAGCCAGTCTGAAAGGATAGTTCGTTCCTTTCGTTGTTTAATGGACTCTTAAGGATATAATAATATTGGGGGGCGTGGTGTACTCACTGTTGCGGGGCTGGCTGTGGCAGTTCTGGTTGCGGAGCTGACAGTTGTTGGCCAGGATCTTGCAGTCCCTATTGTTGCGACTCCGGACGCAGATCTCCTGCCTGGGCGGGGTCCTCCTGCAGACCACGGGGCGTGCGGGGCAGGGCGCCCAGCAGGGCCGCCTGTTGGCCTCGCCGACGGCGCGCACGGTCCTGCAGTCAATGTCGCGTGTGTGCCTGATATCGGCAGGCTTGGCCTCGCGATTCGCCTGGATCAATTCGCAGATGTTGTTGAAGCGCTGGCAGTCGCCCCGCGGTGTCCTGCCGCAGACCCTGGGGCTGGCGCGGGAGCAGACCGCAGGCGGGGAGCAGGGCCATGGACGACCGATGATCGGAGGAAGGGTGCTGATGGATCGTCTTGTGGTCGTCCTTGGTGTGACGCTAGTAAGGCCGCTAGCCAGGCAGACGAGGGCCACTCCTGTGAGGGGAGGAAAAGAGACTGTTAAATCATCCTGTGGTGGATCCTTGAGGCACTCTATCCTTACCAAAGATCAGAGTCAGTTGTTGGCTGTGCATTTTGCTTGTCTCTCGCGGATGGCTTGGCTGTGCTGAAGGAGCTGCTGGTTCTGATACTCTTTGGCCCAACCGCCCTGCCTATTTATACCAGCAGTAAGGGCAATGCCAACAATTACCTGGAAGAGAACTCCCAACAATTCTCTGCGGCACGCGGCAGCTCTTCTTTTGTTCAGCGTTCCAGCTCGTCAAGGCATTGACCCGATCGAAATGGCCAGAGAGACAGCTGTTGCATAACTGGAGCATCAGCATTCGGTCAGCGATACAGGGAAAAGTTCTGTTCCATGAGAGTCTAGAATGGTTGAAAAATGTATGATCCAGACAGCTCTTGGGAAAGAAATACTCCCGCTCTCCATTCGATTATGCTCCAGAGCTGTTTCCACTGGCACAAAAATGTAGGAGCTGCCACGAGAAACCCCCACCGAATCGTGTGATTGGGTGTCAGATTTCGCACGTTATAGGAATCTTATTTAACGCGTGCAACAACAGCCGGGGTGCAAACAACAAAACAGATGCCAGATGGCAGGTGACAGGTGGCAGGTGGCAGCAACGGGAGCAGGCGATCGATGGGGGGGCTATAAATAAGCAACTTCGCCAGCAAATAGGCATCAATCAGCATTTAGCAGTTGATTAAACAGAAGATCCGCTCATCAGTCAATCGCATCATGTCCAAGCTCAGCATTTGCCTCCTGCTCGTCGTCCTGGTGGTGGCCATTGAGGCCGATGGCGACGGTCGCCGCCCCTGCGAAGGCCGCTGCACCATCAGGGACCTGAGCAGCCCCAGGCTCCTCTGCGTACGGGATCGCCGCACCAACACCTGCACCAAGCTCCGGCCCTGCCGCCTTCGCGAGCTGAACTGCCGCCGCCGCGACTCTGGCCTGGCACCGCTCAAGGAGTCCTGCACGACCCGATGCCGCAATATCCTGGGCGGCAGCGGCGTCAGCGGCCAGTGCGCCAAGCGGCTCCGCACCCAGTCCGGCTCCACGGACTCCAAGAGGGTGCGCGATTGTCGCCAACGTCGTTGCATCGATGACAAGATCGCCGGCTGCTGGAAGGATGGTCAGGGAGCCTGCATCGTGCAGACCCGCTGCGAGGCAAGCCGCAAGAACTGCGTCAACCCGTCCAACCAATGGAGCCGCACTAGTCAGTGGCGTTGCCGTGGCAATGTCCAGGGTGGCGGAGCACGCAGGTGCCGCTCACGGCCCATCGTCATCAAGGATTAGACACTCACTCCAATCCAAAATGCAACTGGAACCGCAAGACCAACGAAAATCTCGAAAATCTCGAAAATAACTTATATTTCCCACTCCCTTCCCACTAATTGTCTTTGAATCTGAAAATACCCACAAATTTCGTCGAAAATCCATCAACTTTCCCGAACTATTCCAATTAGTTTTTGTTCGACGATGCCGAATCCTATTAGTGCAGTGATTAAAACTTTTTGAAATCTATAGGTGTCATTCGTTATTCTTAGCTATTCCAATTATAAATGCCCAAGCAGGCTCCTGTGTTGGTGCAGCTGGGCCTTTGGATGCTTAAAATTCTGTACAATACCCAAAACTGAACCCTGAATTCAATGGGGAATGTTTAATATTTGCATGCCATATCGCTGGAGGGGCCTGGTGCTGGCCTCTCTGACTAGTAAGTGCAACTACATATGTGCTAATCATAACCACCAATCTGCTGCTGTAGCTAAGACCTTTCGCCACTGCCGATGCTAAGTGGCTCCACGTCCCCATCCCCATCCTCCCACTGGATTACTCGCGACCTTTGCTCTGGCCTTTTCCAAATGCAGTTGTAAATATTTAAATGGAATTAGACATTTGCTGGATTGGCTGTGTCTGCAGTGGCCATGTGTGCCAGTGTGTGTGTGGCTGGCGTTATTTAATTTCACGCTCGGCGGGCACAACCCCCAACCCGTCGCCGCCACGGACCACCGCCTGGTGAGGGTGAGGGTGAGGGTGAGGGTGAAGGTTAGGTTGAGTGGCATGCGGCACTGCAGCATTTTGCAGTAATTCAGTTAGAGTCCAGTTAGCTGCTAATGTTTTCTAATTTGATTAAGCCCTCCACATACACGTGTACGGGCTGGCATAGCACTCTGTCTGTGGCAGCCACCGTGGCAGAATATAGCACAAAATTTGCATTTCAGCATAAAGTGGCAAGTGCAATTTTCATACTAACACCGGTGGCAGGACGAGGTGGCTCGTGCTGGAAGGGCTGGCAGGCTGGCAGGCTAATGGAACGGGTTGGGGCCGGGACAGTTGACAGCCCCAGACCGGGACTGAGGTTGCATCTCGCTGCCTGCTTCACAGCCGGCTGTCCTTCTTTATGGCCATTCCGCGGCCAGAGCAGCAGCAGGTGACACGACAACAAAGCTGCAGCAAAGCAAACTCCCACGGCAGCCAGCCGCCCCAGACACAAAGAATAACAATGTGTGGGTGTGGGTGTGGGTCTGTGCATCTGTGGATCTGTGGGCAACGCGTGGCGCTTGTACTTGAGCGAGGATAAGAGCCGGATCCGGGGCAACCACTGTGCCCTCCCCCGCCCTTGAGTGGTTAGCACAAAGCGGGACTTCTCGTGTTTCACGTAGCGTAAGCCGGCCAAATGTCGCTGCGGCACTTGCAACACAGTAGTGAGAAAAATAGGCAAAGCTGGGGCTGGGGCTGGGGCTGGGAACCGTGAAAGTGCCTGACACATTATGATGGCGATGGCGATGTGAGTCAAGTGGCAGTGTCAGGCGAGTCGCGTTTCCCATGGCTATACTCAGACGATACCCCGGTATCGGTGGGTAGCATTTAAGTTTGACTTTTTCGCACGCATAGGAGCCATGTAAACGCTTCGTTACTTGTAAATAAAATCCTTATCAGTGCCTTTAGTCACACAACATTTACTCGAAGCGCGAGTGTTGGATAAACCCAATATTTATTTTGAAAATCGATGGTATGTTCGCCATGGGATAAGAACCTGTAGAAGCTCGTAAAACTGTGCTATCCGTGGCCATTTATGGTGCACCTGTACTACGCCTTCGACACGCACTATGCGCAAATAACTCAATTAAAATGCTCTTTTCATGCCAGAGACCGACCTCCCATGACCTATAGCTGTCGGGGGAATCCCAAGCCCCATGCCTAAGGAAGGCTTTGGCATACATTTAACCCCATCGCCGGAGCAACTGCAAATTTGTTCACACAAAGCTGAAACGATGGCCAGAGGGCGCACATTACTGGGGGCCGGGGGCCGGGGGGCGTAGGGAAGACATCAGTGGAAAAGGGACACAGGAAGGACCCAGGCTAGAACTGCATACCAATGCCAGATAGCGACAGAAAGTGTCCCTCCGCATGTCTAGACGCCCCAGATGGAGGATATACGATACGATGCGATGCGATACAGTGTATCCCTCAGACATGCATGAACACACACTCGTACATGCACAATTATAAAGTGCTGCTGCGAACGGAAATTGGGGGCCCAACAAAGCAGTATCGTTGCCCAAAATGTGCCACCGAAGGAGAGGCAGGAGGCAGAGGAGAGATGGCGGCTCCGCTCCCGGATAGTGCTACAATTTAATTTCCTAGCGACAGAGACACTGCAAACGGACTGCAGGATGCTCGAAAACTACGTCCGCTGATTGCGCCACGGAAATGAAATTAGATGGGAGCGAAGAAGAAGGACCTGAGAAGTATGCCTAATCAGCAGGAGGATGCCGTTGCCGTCGCCGTCGCCGTCGCCGCTGCCCCTGCCCCTGCCGCTGTCGTTGTCCCTGCCAAGGCCACGTAATGAGTCGGTAATGAAAAGTTGTATGTGACCCGACTGGAGAAACTTGGCGCTGACAAATTGTTGTAAAATGTAATTACTTGCAAATGAGTTTTGGGGCAGCAGCCAAGATCATTAGGCAAATTAAGGACCTTCCCAATGGAGTCCCAACTATGCAATGCTGTCCCATGCATACATACATACATATATCAGGCAGTCAGAGACTGGCAACTTGCAGACACTTTTGATTCTGGCATCAGCCTGGCATTCAATCGAACTTAAACATTCCAATGCTGCACAAAAATCTGTAATAGTATATGGCGTGAATGAATCGAAGGTCGCAAGGTATTTGTATTTACGCATTGACTTAATCAGGCTCATCGAACTGGAAACTCTGGCGAAGTTGATCCGAGAGACCCTGAATAGTGAAAATCATTTGCATTAAATTCCAGTCCAGGATTAATTCAAGCGGCAATCAGCGCCCCCACAGTATCGGCCACACGTGGCACTGATGGCCCTTCGGCCATGGTTTCAGCCTCAAATGGCGGTGATCCGATCCATGGAATATACCCTAAATTACAACAGCAATTAGACCATTCAAGGGTACGCTGAGAGAGCTGTTCCCTACAATCGTGCAATCACTTGCGTTTTGTCAAGCAGTAGGGAAACTCCTTCCAGTCTGGTAACCAAATAACAGGATAGAAAGAGATAGTCTGCTAACCCTTTCAAATAGCTGCAGAACTCGCTTTGCATACAGGGTATCTGCAGTGCGATAGGCTTAGTATTCCTCTATATGTCGTAATTTTTTATTCAGGTGCCCGCCGCCTATCAAAATGTCAAATGTGGGCCGTAATACTCTCCGATAGTTCTCCCATTTGGTTCTCTTAATTGGATTTATTACGAATATTGGAGCATTCGCAGGCAACGGGAATGAAAATTGATGATGAAAAAACGTCGAGCTGTGTTGTGAAAACAAACAAAACTCATTTTCATATGCAAAGAGTGTCCCTTTCCCTTTCCATCTCCATCTCTATCTCCATCTCGATTTCCATTTCCCTGGGCGTCCGTACCCCTTCCCCGGCCCTTGGGCGTGCGTGCATCCGCATATATTTAAAACTTTTTTACACAATTCTTTGTTTATTTATTTAGTTGTGTTCGTGTTTGTCTTCTCTCTTTCTGCCTCAGAAAACCAAAACAAAGCAAAATAAAAAAAACAAAATCAAAAGACAAAAGACAAAACAAAGCAAAACAAAACGCCACGAAAACAGAAGAACAACACAATATTTTGCATAATTTTTTAATATACTTTTCGGGCTAAAAATAGCGTGTTAACAAAAAGAGACGACCTCAGAAATGCGGATCGGGATTGTTTTTATGCTTTTGAAATCGATGCTTAAATGGAAAGAGGGCAAGGCAGGGTGGGGCAAGGGAGGGGGTCTACGAAAACGAAGGAGGCCACTCCGTACACCGGGGGAAAAAAAGGAACCGAACACTTCAAGAACATGGAAGGTAGGAGAACCGAGCAGCACAGATCTCAAGTTCAGGATGTCATTGAATTTTTATGTGTAAGGATGCCTCTATGGCTCCTGTCCCTGGGATCCTTAGAAAGTAACGCATTTTCCAAGCATGTTCCGTTGTTCGAGTTTTGTTCATTGTAATACTACTACCTCTCTGGAATCTTTTACCATATATTTTCTATTACTCATCTACGGAGGCTTTCGTTTTCTTCCGTGTTCCGACTCCACCTCATTTCCCTGTCGTTTTTGGGCCAGGCTTTTTGTAAGCAAGACAAATGGTTGCCACTGCAGCAGAAAGGAACTGCAACCGGGCCAAAGACACAAATTGACATTAGCCCAGGAGCAGGAAGAACCCGTACAGCCCGAAGCGTGACTCAAAGCCAGAGCAGGGACGAGACCCGGAGCTGGAGATGGAAGCGAAGACGAAATAGGGGCAGACTAACAGATGGAGAGTGCTGGAGCTGGGGACGGGTACGGGGACGGGGCGATCCCTTAGTGGCAAGTCATAAATGTCAGGGGCTCCTTAGGCGTGGCCAGGACCCGGACCCGGACCCGGACCGATTCGGGTTCGGGTTCCCCAAGACATACGCACGGGTAAGGGTACGGCTACGGCTACGGCTACGAGTATATTCAGCTGACAAATAACTGAAAATGTGATTGATGACGGCCCTGACACGCTGACACATATAAATGCCCGCAAATGGAGCACGAGACGCTGCCGCTGACGTGTCGCACAGTCTCTCCCATATACTACTCGCAGGGCTACGGGATAGATCCGGATTCCGGAGCACATATCCTCCAGCCATCACTTTTGTTTTTGCACTGGGAGTGCGTGATTTTTGTGCCCGCATCATTACTCAACATTCTAAGTGCTTTTGGGAATAGGACTGGGGATTGGGGACTATGGACTATGGACTATGGACTACGGACTGGGACCTGCGATTCGTCCTGGGGCTGGGGCTCTCAGTTTAACCTACGATTATTGCCATTCATTGCCGAGACTAAAGTATGTCAACAATCTTCTTATCCACATCCCCGTCCACATCATCATCTCCATTCCCATTCCCATTCCCATTGCTGGTTAAACTGCTCCTTAGTGGAGTGGGGAGAATGGAGAGTGGAGAGTGGAGAGAGAGACAACTTTGTTGG